CTCACATACTAAAGTGGCGGAATACTGCTCTCGCCAGCCCAATATCCAAATAATCACATGAGGAACATCTCTTTGAACGGGGTCGCCATCAACGTCGCCACCGAAGTTAAGTACCTGGGACTAACACTAGATTCTAAACTTCTGTGGAAGGCACATTTTGACGCGGTCACTTCTNCAATATCCAAATAATCACATGAGGAACATCTCTTTGAACGGGGTCGCCATCAACGTCGCCACCGAAGTTAAGTACCTGGGACTAACACTAGATTCTAAACTTCTGTGGAAGGCACATTTTGACGCGGTCACTTCTAAAGCTACGAGGGCACTAATGGTATGCAAACGTCTGGCAGGGAAGACCTGGGGCTGTAGTCCCACGATCCTGAGATGGATGTATACCATGATAGTTAGACCAATAGTCACCTCACCTCACTACGGTGAGGCAATCCCTCACCAAGCTTCAACGTCTGGCATGTGTATGCATCACGGGGGCAATGCGCACATGTCCGACGGCAGCGATGGAGGTGATTCTTGAGCTCGAGCCGCTGCACATTACCATAGAACAGGTTGCAAAGCGAACTCTACTAAATTTCGCGAAAGAGGGCTTCGGCAGGGGCAAAACCCTATCATTAAGGAACAGAGATAAGCTGGCGGAGCAAAACGACATCCAATTAACTTGGGTACCAGGTCACATAGGAGTTGCGGGCAACGAGGAAGCGTACCGACTTGCTAGAATAGCGGCCGACTCGTCGCCTATAGGGCCTGAGCCCTTCATAGCGATTGGACCTAGCACAATCAAGGAAGAGCTCAGGAAAGAAAGGAACATGCTAAGGAATCAACATTGGCGTAACACTACAGGTCTACGTCAAGCAAAACACCTACTAGGAGGTTACAACCTTACGAGGTACAGGGCAATTATTAATCTCTCCAAAGGAAAGTTAAGGATAACAGGTTTTCTGACGGGTCACTGTAGACTGAGGGGCCACTTACACAAGCTAGGGATCTGGTCAAACGACCTATGTTGTTTCTGCGATGTGACTGAGGAGACTCCTGTGCACCTGCTTAGCGAATGCGAGGCGGTCGCGAGAAGACGGGAGAGGTACCTGGGCCAATACTGGCCAAGTGGCGAATCAATACAATCGCTAATCCCTGGGGATCTAAAATTTTTGGGCTCTAGGATTAGATGAGGTACTGTAAACAGTTGCCGCTCTTGGTCTGGGACTGCTTATTGGTTATTCGCAGCTAACCTTCTACCTATCTACTACTAATAGATTGGCGCTTACACATATCGCACACCTAGATCTAAAGTGGTACAACTCAAAGTTCTCATTTCTAGTTCATAGGTTCAATTTTTGCTCGCGAGCAACGCCAGCGCCGCAGTTCGTATACGTATGCAGAAGTACAAGTTAAATCACGCTCGACTCGTAATTTTAGCACACGCTTGCCACATTTTGCGTAGGAAATTTACAAACAATACCCAAAGCAAAAAGTGGTGTGTTCTTAGATTGTTGTTTGCGTGCCTTTGCTACGATGCAAACACAAAATAGTGCGACTCTATGTAAGAACTACAGTTTATAGTTCACAGAACTTTCAACAAGCCACAATGTCCATTTTGCTGTTATTCCCACGTATTTTTAATATAAGCCAACTGTATTTTTCATGCCGTGTGCATTTAAAAAAATATAAAAGGGGCTGCTTGCTGACCAACGTTCGCCAATTTTATAATAAGTCCCATGATTTTTATAAAAAAGGGCGCAACTTGAATACTATATTTTAGAATAATCTTTTTCTATCTAAAGAAATCGACAGAGAAATGTAAATGCTGGTTTATGCCCAAAAATACTTAATGAATAATATTTGTAAGTTATACTCTATATTTAGGATTAAATATCTATTTATAAGAAAATAATAAAATCGAAACACCGTAACACCGTAACCATCTGGCCGGCCAGCATTTTAAAGAATAATTCTAATAAACGGTGCCTAGGTATTAAACAAATGAGTTTTACCAATTTAAATTTTTTTAAATTTTACAAGTACATACTAAATTTTTCGTATGTAAAAGTTTCTATAAACTAATAGTATTAGTCACTAAAATCTTCCAAGATTCGTTATTTCACTATACGTATAACCAAAATAGGCCAAAAGGCCCATGCATGAAAAATACCCCTTTCAAGTACATACATTTATAAAAATGTGACAACCATAACTGAGCGCGACGCACTAATGCCACGACAAAATGTGACTGTGTTGGTGTGCCTAACATTGTTCTAGTTCAGTGCAGTGTTGCCGTTTTGGCCCTTTGGTGACTAGATTTATCTACCACATACTATTTTTGGCCACATAAATTTAAAATTGCCCCTAGCCCTTTTTTAGCCCTTTGGAGAATTTATTCATACTTGGCATGAAAAAGTTGTATATACTTAATTTGATCTATTTTTTAAACTTAGAAAGACTGATATATATACATATATGTATTCTATGTACCTTACGTTTTCATACATACATACTGTAAAAGTGTTAGGGCTGTTAACTTATCTATTAACGATTTAACTATAGTTTAAAATAGATAAGTTTACGGCCCTTAATATGCTTAATTTATTAAATGGCCCATCAAGTCGACTGACCGTGTATGTTCTTGTGGTGTGATTGTACCAGCTGCTGGTGCGACTCCAAAAACTATTTGAAAATTTTGGGTGCGTTCGAGATGGCAATCACAGCAGCAGTGTTGCAAATTTTGCCAAAGTATCACGTTCGGCGCGGATATGTGGCAACACTTGCAAAAGTCACACGTTCTGTTGACACTTAATGCGCGCAAATTATTGAAATAACCGGCATCAAAAAATTTTCGTTTGCACAACACAATGGAAGAAGAAAGGTAAGCATAATTGTGATTTATTTCGTATCATATGATCTATAATATAGATAGGTTGCCAATAGTTTTGATTATTATGTCTCTTTACTTTTTTGCAGCGAAAGACTGGGTTCCGCTCCTAATAAACTTTTGGTACGATGCCGACTGGACATGGAGGCTGAATTTGCTGCCGGCAAAAAGAAAAAAATCATTTCTTTGGGGTAAAGTCCTAGAGGCCATGAAGGCCTTGAATCCCGAAGTTCCGGATTCTAAAGAGCTACTCCAGAGAAAGTTTTTAAACTTATTGGCATCGTACAAGAGGATAAAGAAGCGGAACAAAGAAACAGGAAGGGATGCTACCAGCTGGTAGTATTTTGACGAGTTTGATGCTGTTGATGGGAGCCGACGTTCAATCCAACCTCCTGTGGAAATTTGGAGTCCTCCTTGGCAAGTCCCCCATGTGAGGAGAGCGAAGGCGAATCGGATAGCTACGCTGGAAGCGCTCCAGAAAATCAACGAACGAAACATTATTCTATTTAAAGACAGAGGCTATTCAAGAGCAAAAACGCCATGAGGAACTAATACAGCTGGAGAGAGCGAGGTTAGAAATAGGAAAGGAAAAAATTGGCGTCCTAAATGCGTTAAGGGAAATTTTAGAGAAGCGATCATAAACATGCTTTATTATAAAATAATAATAATATAACACTTACTACTGAACTCAAGCTTATGATCTCAAATGAATTAATGTTTATGCTATAAGCATTTGTTTTGTTAATCTTTTTTTATTAATTAATAAACGAAAACTTTACGATGAAAATAACATTTTTATTTCGTTTCTTCTTATAATTCCTTCCCTATTCTCGTTAATGTTTTCGATAACTTCTATTGCGCCAGCATTGTCAGATATATTTTGTTCTAAATTGTTTTCCAAAGAATCCATTGAACTTAGATCGCCGTCATGCTCTATTATAAATTTGTGTAGTATAGTACAGGCCATTACAATTTTTGAAGCATCCTTTATAGATGATACATCGATGTGATTTAATATTCTAAATTTTTGTCTCAAAACGCCGAAAGCCTGCTCTATTAATACTCGTGTGGAACTAAGGTAGTAGTTAAATCGTTTCTCTTCCGTAGAAAGATGCCCATTATCCCTATATGGGACCATTAAATATTTTGTTAGCGGATAAGGGGAGTCTGCTAATATTATGGCCCCGCTAGCAAGCTGAACTTCGCCCGACGAGATCTTTTGATAAATTGGGCTATTTTTCCAAACGTTGGCGTCGTGGCAACTTCCAGGATAGCCAATAAAGATATCCAAAAATCGAAGATTGCTATCGCATATAGCCTAAAGCGACAAAATAAGTTAAAAGATTTACATATGCACTAAACCAGACCAGACTGTATAAATTCTTCTACCTGCATTATTATTGAAAAGTGTCCCTTGCGATCGTATTAGCTGATTGCGTCGTTATTCGGGGTATTTATTATGAAGTGGATTCTATCCACACATCCAACAACAAAGGGGATCGAGTTTGGTCTTTTCGCCTGAAATCATTCCATAACGTCCTGCTGTTTGGCAACCGTAAGCCAACAAATTTCATTTCTAAGGCAGCATACTTCTTCAATGGTTTTGAAAAAAAGTTTGTCAGCTGTCCCCTTTCCTACGTTGAATCGATCTGAGAGCTATCGATATGTAATTCGGCTGTTGCTCAGCTTCCACAAAAATAGGTACAGGGACTGTTTCAATGTATAATGCGTGTCCAACATTGACCAGAAAGGCTGTAGAGCATTCATTAGTTTCTAAGCAAATTAAAAACATTGATTATAACAGAAACCAAAAGCTTTTTTAATTATTATACTTACAGCAAATGTGTTACGGGTCATGCGGAAGTGGGAGAAGAATACGTCGCCATCATATAGCTCAATTGTGTTAAAAAAATTTTGGATTTTTGTAACTCGTCTCCTTCTTAGGATTTCTTTTAACAGAAGATTCCTCTTTGCGATTGCGATTCTTCTTCTCCTTGCAATATTTAATAAAAAATTGTCTCCACTTTTCTCAATCTCGTCTATTATTAAAGGTATTTCCATTTTTAATTCGAATGGTCCTTTGTGAAATTAACCTGTGCAACTGNTTTGCGATTGCGATTCTTCTTCTCCTTGCAATATTTAATAAAAAATTGTCTCCACTTTTCTCAATCTCGTCTATTATTAAAGGTATTTCCATTTTTAATTCGAATGGTACTTTGTGAAATTAACCTGTGCAACTGCTCTGCAAAACATCAGCTGAGTATCAGCAACAAAGTGTCAAACAGGCAACAGAGTTGCTGTACTGCTGTAATTATTAAATAGCTCGTACGCAAAAAGTATTTTGGCGGAAATTTCTTCCACTATATGAGCCAAAGCAGTGTGTGTGAAAATGTTTGCATATATGCTTATATATGTATTTGTAAGTAAAAAATTTTAGCTACCAATTTTAGCCACAACGACTTTTTTTAGCCCTTTTTTTAAAGGAATTTGGCTACCACTAAAAATAATTCGCGGCAACACTGCTACAGATCACGCAATCCGCCATCGTTTTATTTGTAATCGAATTTCAGAAAAAAGTTTTCGTAGCGTTTTTGATGTTTTTCCCAGGGTTTGAAATGCTTAAGCAATATTAGCAAAAGCAACGAAAATATGCTGATGCTGTGCTTCTGAAGTTGTCTTGCTTCAAAGGCAATATTCTTGCTTTTCCCTTGTCTTCAACAAAAACGAATAGCCACACCAGTAGCACGAGAAGAGCTGAGAGGCAAACGATCGTTTGTTTAGCAGCACGATAAGAGGTGAGAAGCAAACTATCATTCGCTTTCGGCTCGAACTCGATACTTATCAGCAAATGAATTTTGCTTTTGCTTGCATATTGAAAAGCACGAAAACAAAAGTAAAAGCAATTGATCGGCTTTGGCAGCTCGTCAGTTGCTTCTGCTGTCATATTTGAAAAATACGAATAGCCACAGCAGCAACACGTAACATGCTAAGAAGCAAACCATCGTTTGCTTTTCAGTACAAACTCGATGCTTTCTCAACAAATGAATTTTGCTGATGTTTGCATGATGAAAAATGTGAAAGCAGAAGCAACGGAGCGGACATGAGTATATCCTGTGATAGGACAAAAACAAGTAACTTGTCTTTTGTAAAATGCAGAAAAATCAAGGTTTTTTGTGTAGCAAATTTAGGTTTTTTTATATCTTTTTGGTACTTTGTTGTATTTCCATTTTACTTTATGGCTGCTAGAAAAAATGTTGTTTTTCAAGAATTCGAAAATAGAAAGCAAGATTTTTACGTTTATGTATTTAAATTTAATTACTTAAAAAAATTAAAAAATGCAATAAACAATTAATCTTGTTCCTCATCCGGGTGTTGAAAGAGTGACAGATTGTCTATAGCAGCTTCGAGGAAGTTCGGATTCAGCTTTACTAGCAATATGTTTTCCAAAGTTTCCTCACTTAAACGATTCCTGGAGTCCGTTCGTATTAGCTTCAGCATGGAAAATGCACATTCAATCGTCACCTCTTTTGTGAAAAGACCAATAAAATTTATTTTATTTATTATATTTAATTATTTAATTTATTTATTCAATAAATAAATTAAATACATTAAATAAACTAAAAGGAACTCATAAAAACTTCAAAAATAAGGCTTTTAAAATATATATACACATACATATTATATGGGTGTTTCCAGGGGAAGGTCCACCACGACAAAAAAAATAAAAGTTTTATATCTAACGTATTTACGGGTCGATTTGTCTGCTTTTTAAAATATATACTGGCTATGTAAGTATAATCATGTTTGCATAAAATGGTCTTCCTAGGTGGTGCCAAGGTCGAGATATTTCGAAAAACCGTATTTATGGCCCGATTTGTTTCGAATTTGGCGTATGTGGTTCAAACATAATAAATCATAGATTTCTAATAAACTGACCCTGAATTGGCGCTGAAGTCAAAGTATAAAGTATATTCTACATAAAATACATGTTTTATTTGCGTTGAAAATTCATTTAAAAGCAATATTAACAAAAATATAACGATGGAAATTTATGTCACGTGACGCCACGTCACGTCACGTTTCACACTTGGGGTTGTAAAAGAGAACTGAAACAATTTGCATTAATTCAAAAAACTCTAAAAACAACTAGAATTGCTCCAAATCATATTAAAATAAGTTTCATGAAAATAGCCATCCACAATTCGCAGAGTTTTGCGATTTTGTAAGAAAAGAAAAAATCAACTTCCATTTTTTGTCACGTAACGACACTCTCTTTAAATGCTTATATTTCAGGACCAAGCAGTTCGATTGATTTCATTTTTCGGTTAAATATAGAGCTAATTATGTGCTATACAATGGCCCAAAAAAGTTAAAGAAAACAAATGGTATTCCTTTTTTGTATCACATTGAAATCGTACGACTGTCACGTGCGCCACCATGGGAATGCCCATATGTATTAGACTGTGTCAAGTACAACGAATGCGGTACAAAAATGTTTTCATTGCAAATTCTTATTTTTGCGAGCTCTAACTGAAAAATGAAGATAGAGGGCTGAAATTTTGCTCACATTATTTTTTTGTAACTGACAACGAAACTTTGATATGGGACCGAAAGAAAAAACAATTCGTTTTAATTGACACAGTCTAATACATACATATGTATATACAATGGTTGAAATAATTATAGCCGCACCATATTTTGATAAGTTTTAACATATTATATTTGTTGTTATTTAATTTTGGTAATTTTTTTTTAATATAGTTCATTCTTTAACAAAACCCGTGTTAATCCGAATTTCAGACTTTGTGCAATATTAAAAAAACTTTATTTAAAATTTCTAGCTTTTGGATTTCCTAGAAAGATTCGGAGTATGCAGTCTTTTAACACATTGAATTCTATTAGAATAAAGTGCAAGTTTCAAATGGCTAAAAATTACCGTTGATTTTTTTTTTTTTTTTTGTAGGAAGATGTTACGGGTTTCATCCATATAGAAATAAATTTTGTGTATTTTGTTACATGGAAGCAAATATGACAAAAAAATTCTAAAAATCTACCGTAATTTTTAGTCGTTTGAAACTTGTACTTTGTTCTACTAGAATTCAATGGAAATCTAATTAAAAAAGCTAGAATTTTGTTTTTTTTTAATATGGAACAAAGTTGGAAACTTGGAGTTACACGGGTCTTGTTAAAGAATGAACTATATTTAAAAAAATAACCAATAACTACAATAATAAGAGGATTCACAAGACGTGTTAACCGTCGCAAAATCTTAAGCTTAACATTTTTTTATGTAAAACAACGGTTAAAATGGTTTTAGGATGGCTAATTATATATTTTTTATCAGATTAAAAACATTTCGGTGTAGTTAGAAATCCTCTAAAAGCATTTTAACCGTTATTTTACATTAAAAAAATGTTAAGCTTAAGATTTTACGACGTTAACACATCTTGTGAATCCCCTAAATATATTAAAACTTGTCAAAATGTGGTGCGGCTATAATTATTTATTATATTTATTATTATGATATATATACCTGAGTGGGTGGTATTGCAAAGCAGACATTGCTTAACGCGTACATCTCTGGATCAGTAAACTACTTTTCCTTCCAAAATGTTGGAACGTTTGCGTCATTTCTTAGGATTGGAAGCTGCAGATTTTTAATTTTTGTATGTACATCGGTAGCAGTACCAACGTTAGCTTCAATACCTTGCGATAAATATTCGTTTAGTAATTCATCCTCAACATCAAAAAATTGGTTGGTTGTTTGATGTGCACTTGAATTCGGAGTTGAACTCGCAATGCCGCCAGGGTTAGTTTCATTAATTTTATTCCATATTGTTTTTATACCCGAGCGCACTTGTGCACAAGGGTATTATAACTTTGTTCACATAACGGTTGTTTGTAACAGGCAACGTGCACCCACTTTTCACGAAAATTTATGCCTTTTGGCAGACCAAACAAAAGCCACAACGTGCACCTACTTTTCACGAAAATTTAGGCGTTTTGGCAGACCAAACAACCGCACAAACTTGTTCCAATCACAAAGTACTTCATTTTATACCATAAATTTGTAATAAATCAAAACTAATACTAAAATCGCTCATAAAACACATAAAATTGCTAAAAAAGCCATTCCGAAGCGATAGAAGACAATGTAAACAAAACGGGAAAACATCAAAAACGCTACGAAAACTTTTTTTTGAAATTCGATAACAAATACAACGATGGCACGTATTCATGAAACAACTAACAAGATCACGCAATCGGAAGAGAATGAAAACAGTGAATTTCTGAGCGTGTTTGACGTGTGCCTAAGAATGAAAACAAACAAAGAAAACGAAAAAGGCGCGGTTGTTGTTGTTGTTGTAGCGGCTACAACAACCCCGCCCAGGACGGTTGGTATCTCAGTCGTTGTCGTCAAGTTCCACTAACGGCAACCCTAGGAAGCGTGCAGCTTCTGTGGGGTTTGTCCACAGGGACAAGGCCGTTAGGGTTGTCGGGTTTTCCGGGCATGCGAAGAGATGTTTCGAGTCACGAGGGTCTCTCCGCATGCCGGACACTCATCTGGCACATCCGCATTCAGTCTACTCAGGTATGAGATTAACCTGCTGCAGGAGCCAGAGCGAAGTTGGGCTATTGTGGTTCTTGTCTCCCGCGGCTGATGAAGCTCCGTCTCGTCTATGTCCGGCGGTGGTGTGCCTAGAACGGCACTCACAGGTCTAGAGTCTACATAACTCGAGACTGACTCCCTGTGAATGCCGTTCAGGGCCAGTCAGTATGCTGACGGGTCCAGAGGCTGCTTGATGAACCTCTGGACTTCGTCCGTCAGTTCGTATAGATGCCTCCTTACGTGCCTAGGCGAGGGCTCCTCTGCAAACAGCTGTCCGTTCGGGTGGCCACTTCTGTGGCTCCCGATCACAAACTGCTTGCATTATGTTGAGCTCCTTGATTGGGAGCATTTGTGCCTCGTTGTGAAGGTGATGTTCTGGTGACATCAGGAGACATCCAGTCGCTGTCCTAAAAGCGGTGTTC